GGCTCTATTTTCTAGTGCTTACAATACATCAACAGGGGCATCCAAATATATCAAAATAGTAAAGATTCACTATCCACCCAATTTCCAAAATTTCCCAAAACGTTGTATTACCTTTAACAGATAGCTATAGTTTATGTTCCCCGCCTTTTATTATTTTGTTGAACAAGAGTTTTGAGTTGGGTACAAATTATTGGTGAAGCATGTTTGTATGGAACATTCAGTTTGATATTAGAATGATATTCAATGGTTGAATGAATAATGATTATAAAGACTGTATCTCCATTCTCATGTACTGGTAGGACATATGTGAAGAAATAACAAAAACAAACCATCAATTTTTTTTTTAAAGGTGAAGTCCACCCTAATATCAAATTGGTTTAAAATAGAAGCAGAAAAATGAGAAAAACAGGTCAGTGAAAGTTTCAGCATAAACCCATGAAAATAAGAAAGTTATGAATTTTTTCAAAGGTGCAACTAATCAATCACATATTATTGATATTAAATTCTGTGATGTATCTTGTGATGTATCTTGTGACGTCCATTCCCATTTGCGGTGTACTAAAACCTTCAAAAATCTATATTTAACCCTATGAAAATTTTCAATCATACATTCACCTTAAATATGGTTATTACAAATATGTTTTTATATCATCCCTGTATGAAACAAATCTATTTTATCATCAATAACTAAGAAAATAAAAGTTCCATACAGAAAAATTTCGAGCCAGTTTGTGTTTCACTGATGACAACTTCAAAAATTCATAAGTCTTTAATTGGACTTTGCTTGAACTTTCACTAATTTGTTTTCTCATTTTCTGTTTTTTATTAAATCCAACTTAATATCAGGGTGGACTTCCCCTTTATTAAATGTACCACTTTCATTTAATATGTTTTGTTGATTGTGACACTTTGGGCCATGCACTTCTGAAGTTCTGAGTCGTGTTAAATGTTGAATCGTACCTTTAAGCCAGATACTAGCTTGAACTTAGCTGGCGAGCAAGGGGGGAGGTCTGACCGCAGCATTGCTGGTGAACTGTGAAAGTAGTTTCTGAGCCATGCTCTGCACTCTGGGTTCTCAACATGAATATTTCTCAGCACAAAAACATGAAATGTTTTCCAGCACAAAAATATGAATACTGCTGACAGTTTGTTGACAAAATGTCCATTGTCCCTTTCCAGCCTCCTCCCTCTTCCTCCCTCTTCCTCCCCCTCCTTCTCTCTCTCTCTCTCTCTCTCTCTTGATCTCTCACTATCTTTCCATCTTCCCTTTCCCCTATGTCTCTCTCTCCCGTCCATCCTGTGCTTGCTCTCCTCTTTGGCTCTTGCTCTGCCTACTTTAAAGGCATGGTTTAACAATGTTAAATCTGAGATGCATGGCCCTACGTGTTATCAGTGTCAGTGATATATGGTGTAATATTGAAGCCCTATAAAACTTGCGCTTCAAAATGATCATGAAGTGCCTCAAAAAAGTAAAAATCTTTGTGTGACAGGTTTTAACATACTCATTTTCCCCAATAGACTGTAGTGTTATAAAAACGAATAATGAAATTTCGATTTTCAATCATAAATATCTTGATAATCAGACAGGCGATCGGCTTGTAAAAGCCATGGGATTCCTGACTGACCTAAAATTTTATAATTATGAATGCAGCATGAACTAAATCCAGGATTTTGTTTCAGAATCTGAGACAATGTTACCTAGTCATTTTAAAGGTACACGTACATTTGATTTGAATGATTAGATGCCTGTCTTTCTCTGTAGGTGTAATTGTTGTCATCAGAAATGTCCAGTTTCTCATGTCTCTTCTTCTTGTTCTCATTATTCTATATACCGATACATGTATTGCCCTATTTTTCCCCCTTTTAATTAGCTTCTCCTCCCTCATCTTCGTTCTCTTTTTATTTATCTCTTGCTCTTCTCATCCCATTTCCGGTCTTGATAAGCGCCATGACAACCATTGTAACATTGGTATAGATTGGTCTTGCAGTGGAGACAGTTATATTATCTTGAAGCCTTTGTTATACATGTATCTCTATCCCACGATAAATACAGTGTGGCACACAGACATGATACTGTTAAGAGTTAATATCCCTCATGTTCCCGCAATTTTTGTCCAGCCTTCTGTCTCCTAGCCAATTATAAATTTTTTGCTAAAATTTAGCTTGGCGAGGATTACTGTCTTCACCTGCTGATTCATAAAACCATTGTATTAGGTCATGGCACTTCCTATCACATGTAAGTTCTATTTAAAAGTGACAACACCTGCTTAAAGAGGGATCACACATTTGAGGAATGACATTTATGGAAACACTCTGATGAGACTTTGCATTGTTTTGGTTTCTATATGTACCTGCAGGAAACACTCATGTGAATTTATGTAAATTTCTGCTGAGAATATATTTGGTCTACTTTATGTGATGAAAACATTTAGGCCTATAGCACATGATTTCAAGATTACGAGAATCAGCTTTAAACAAAATTTGTGTCCTCATCCCACCTTGCATATCTTTTTCTTTGATATTCTTTGATCTCCATTTCCTCTCCTTTCTCCCACCTCCCCTCTGTCTCCATTTCTTTGCTTGCCTCCAATAATCATGACGTGTTCTTGGCAATGTCCCATACCTATGTCACTCACACCTCATTCTGCCAAACATGCTTGCTTCAGGGAGGGATTTGACCCTTGACCTCTGTATTTCATATTGCCTTTCATGTTCCAGCTCACCCCAAAACCCAGCCTTCTGGAGCCAAACCTACTAACCCTACCAATGTAAACTATACTTTAAACCCCCCATTTAGTCAAGCAAAATTGATCATACAGCTATATGAAAACCATAGGCTAAAAAAATCAAAGAATTTATATCCAATGCCCGTGTGACTATTTTATTGAACAAAAACTGTGTAAATTGGGCGTGGCTTATTATGAGTATGAACTGATACATGTGTAAGGGGTGAGGTAGTCCAGTGGTTTGAGCGCTTGACTGGAAGTGCAAAGGTTGTGGGTTCGATCCGCAACATGGCACTAATGTCCTTTGCCAAGCCATTAATCTACATTTGTCACTCCATACCCAGGAGAGAAATGGGAACCTGATGGAAGCGTTTTTTGGTAGTAATTACCTTATGCCCCCATGGTGGCCATATGGTAGGAATACTCCCAAGGGAGTGGAGATGGTGCACACTGTGCTTGAGTGATACTGATAACCAGGGCCCCATCTTATAAAGAGTTGCGATTGATCCAAATCAATAGGAAGTCCTTTAATCAATCACAAGTTTGCAGTCTCCTATCTCTTATGTTCATAGTTGCGATTAATATCAAATTTTTATAAGACCGCGCCCTGGGTAATAATAACCTGTAAAGCGATGAAATATAGGGTATTTCATATAAAGCGCGATATAAATCCAGATTTATCATAATCATGCGGATACCGGCGCTATATAAATATCCATATTATTATTATTATTATTATTGAACAGATGCTAAACCATGTATGGTCTAAGCTGACCTCCCCAAATCCAATTTATCAATACAAAATTGTTATTAAGTCCTACAATATTCATTTCCCATGTGTATGCACCTTTTGGTATTTGATGATTATTTTATTATTATTATTATTTATTAGGCCAATCATAAAAGCACAATACAATGACATTTTGACAGATCATACAATACATAAACAATACAAGAGGAAAAGGGAGGGAGCAGCGTGTGGGCCATTTGATGATTATTTATGTTTTTTAGATCCAAATGTGGTATACATTCTCTAGTGTGAATGTGCTGTTGTTTGATGTTGTGCCCCCATGCAATCAATCACGCTCTCTTTTATTTTACCCAGCTGTGCCTGCACGGACATTCATTACCATCAACAGTTCATCCAGTCAAGAGCAGTCACAAAATTCATGTTCATATTTATTTCTCTCTAAACATTCCTGTCTGTCATTGGCATTATATTCATGTATTGGAGCACATATAAATACAGTAAAGGCTGGGCATCAAATAAGGATCATGGTCATTTCTGTCATCTGTTCAATATAAATGACAAATTTATATCTGAGGAGTATGGTGGAGCTCATACATCAATTTATCCATTTCATCATTATTCTTTCCACTCATCGATAGTAATCCTTTCCAACTCCCTCCAGAATTTCTTTCTTACCTTCCAAATAAAATAAAATGGATTCTTGTAAATACGTATTTGTCACATCAATACCATACGAGGCATGAGCTCATTATACACGTAGGTCAAAGATCACTTGAAGTACACATGATCTGAAATGATCTGAAATCTTGTACAACATCATTATTATTATTATTATTATATTGATGAGGCCTAAGGGGGTGGTTGGGGGTACTACTTCAACAAGGCAGCCAAAACATTCCAAACAAGCATATACAGGAAGCTTTCATGCCTTCAAATTTGGAGACTAGGATAAAAGCAACTGTCAGGTTTTCCAAAATGCAGACAGGGGTTCCAAAATGTTTACCACGTCCCCCCCCCCCCCCCAACATTCCTATGTGTCACAGTGTTTTGTGGATTGTGTCCAACCCACCACTGACCTCAGCCGACAATTTAATTAGAATCTTCTCCAGTTTGTCTTTGAGTTCTAAGCTATATCCTTGTAAGAATTGCACATTAATTTTAGGAATCTGTCAACTTCAGAAAAAAAGATTCCAACATTTTCAAATCCTGTAGGCCTATGAACTGATAATTTATGTTTTTTTCTCTCACAAAGTTGTTTTGCTATATAAAATAGTATTTTGTGTGTAAAGTAAATCTAATATTGAAAGAAAAAAATCCTAACAGAAGAGGCGTAAATATTCACTCCTGAATGATAAACGCCTATAAACCAAAACAATAACAACAAGTTGCAAATATTTGTGAAGTTGGCTTAAATTGTATCCTTCTCATATTTTATTTGTCTTTTAAGAAAGCTTGAGGTATGATACGGTTTCCTTTCATTCATGAGATTCTCTCTCATAATTTGGTTACTTTCTTTTATCCAGATTTGACGTACGGAGAGTTTGGAGTAGGGCTGTATTTCTCAAGCCACCCAGGAACTGCAGCTCACTTTTCAGCAGTAAGTAAATTTCTTGATAGGGACCACATTAAAGAAATAAGAGTACTAGTAGTATATTTGTATTTTAGGCATTCCTGTAATATGCACTCTTAAATTATGATTATTTATTATGATTTTATTTATTATTATTGTATGTATTGGGATATTTTTATTATTTTATTTTATACCCTGCATCAAAAATTTATTGGTTTTGATTGGTATAGAGCTCGTCACGTGACCAGAAATCATTCAACTATTTTATGGTGCTCTGAAAAAGTACTATTTGGGAGTACTATTTGGGGGTTGAAACTCCTTTTTTAAATTTTTTTTTTAATTTAATTTTTTTTTTCTTCAAATTTCTTAATTTAATTCTTTTTCATATTTTTAATTCTTTTTTGATAAAAATTTAATTTTTCTAATTCTAAATTTATTTATTTTTCCCCAAAATTGTAATTTTTTAAATTATTATTATTATTATTTTTTTTTGATGCAGGATATAAAACAAATATACCGTAATTAACGTTGTATAAACCGCCCTCGTGTTTTAACCGCACCCCTCTTTTTTTTTTTTTTTGCCGACTTGGAAAACAGAAGAGGACCTAGGATAGAACCTTGTGGTACGAAAAATTGGAGGAATTATTATTATAAACTACATATTGAAATCTACCAGAAAGATTACTTTCAAACCAAGATGACAGACAAATTTGAGTGTTGTTCTAGTTTCCAAGTGGTGAGTCAACACACGGATTACTGAGCTGGGAGACATTGCCAGGCATAGCGCCAGGTGGAGGGGCATAAATCAAACTTTAGAAGAAAAAAAAAATTATTAATTACGGTACCATGCCTTCTTTTCAAGGTACTGGTTTAAACTTTGGGCCTCAGTGACTCCAATAGTACTTTTTCTTAGGCTCTCTCCAAAAGATGAATGCACCTTCAATGTTCTCAATCAATCTCCCCTGTTGTGAATGATCACTCTCATGGCTCCTCATCTTGAATAAATACACTCCTGCCTCCGTAAGAAGAATGGTGGATTGAACTCGACCTACATGTTCTCTCCCGCCAGCTGCAGACTATATGAAAAAGGGGGCGACTTCATTCAAAATTCTTTAAAGTTAAAGACCAGTTCTGGTCCAGCGATTGCATTGTGAAAGAAACGGTCTGGAGTCGATCAGAAAAGGTTAATCATCTAGTATATAAGTATTGGTGTGTACTGCAAGGTTCTGGAATAAAAAAAAATGATAAGAAATTTGGCTTAGTCTTGGTAAAGTTACAAGCACTGTATACAGAAAGATGTATATGGGACTACGCGACACGTGCGCAATATCTATCAGGTCCAAATAGATATAATAATTTACCAAATATATCAATTATAGTAGGCGGTGACCCGGCACAATTTGTATCATCATGTATTAGTTGAAACATATTCTTTCCCATGATTGTTTATAAGAGCTTCCATTTCATTTTTTTGAGAGGGGGCGTTTCCAAAACTGGTCTTTACCTTTTAAGGGAAATCCAACCTTAATAGACAACTACTCTAAAAGAATGCAGACAAATCTGAGAAGCTGACTGATGAAAGTTCTAGTTAAATCTGACTAAAAATAAGAAATTCATAATTTTTTTTAATGAGTAGTAATTTACTATGTGTATGGGCACTTCGAATGGACTGAATCGGTAATGTCACCGTGATGGAGTGCCGGACTACTTTCCTATTTGTTCCAACACACAAAATTACTAAAGTTTCAATTTGTATGCCTCCGTTACGAAGTAACTGGAGGCATTATGTTTTCGGGTTGTCCGTCCGTCCCTCCGTTCCATTCTCGTTATCACGTTATCTCAAGAACCGATTGATGGATTCCTGCCAAACTTAAGTCATGTATGTATCTTTCAGAGCTAATGAATTCAGTAGATTTTGGGGTCAAGAGGTCAAAGGTCACATTGCTCATTATGTATGCAAAAATAGCTTGTGATGGCGTTATCTCAAGCACTGATTGATGGATTCCTGCCAAACTTAGGTCATGTATGTATCTTGCAGAGCTGATGAATTGATTAGATTTTGGCGTCACGAGGTCAAAGGTGACAGGGCTCATTATGTGTGCATAAATAGCTCTTGATCACATCATTAGAACCGATGGACAGATTATCATCAAACTTAGGACATGTATGTATCTTGCTGAGCAAATGAATTGATAAGATTTTGGGGTCATGAGGTCAAAGGTCAAAGGTCATTGGGCTAATTATATATGCAAAAATAGCTTGTGATCACATAATTATTATTAGAACCGATGGATGGATTACAATTAAACTCAAGACATGATGTGTCTTGCAAAGCCAATGAACTGATTAGATTTTATGGTCATGAGGTCAAAGATAAAAGGGTCATACATGTTTATGAAAAGTAGCTTGTAATCACGATATTCTGAGAACCTGTTAATGGATTACAATTAAACTTGAATTTGAAAAATTGCTTCTGTTTTGGTTTGTGAAATCGCTCTATGGTGGAGGCATCATTTTTGACTGCACGCAGTCAAAGTTCCATCTAGTTAAAAAATGTTTGGCTTAGGAGGGTCTATTCTGTTTATAGGACCTACAATGATATGCTATCCATATATTTTGAGAAGTGCCCCAAGGGATAAGACACTTAGGAGAAATTTATGATATTTGTGTTCAAACAGGATTTGCGTCCTATGTCACAATCCACTGACCAAAATGCCAATTTGAGATTCGCATCGACTCGGTGATCTCATATTTCAAACATTCATAACTTATTATTGTGGGTCAGATTTATTTCCAACTTTTGCCATTCTGTTTATCTCATTTTCCTGCGTTTATACAAATCAACTCATTACAAGGGTTGGATTGAACTTTAAATAAAATTTCTGTGAAACAGCATCAGAGTTAGATTTTCAAGACCTGTAATCCCCATAATAAGAGAAAATTTAATTATTCTAGCCCTTTTTTCATTTGAAAATACAAATGAATTCAAGCTCATGGGGCTCAGATTTTGGAGTTGACCGACATATGGGCTAAGTTTGGTGTTTTTCGTAGAATTTGGGCCAAACCATACCACCAAATAGGTTACCTAGATAAGCAATAGCATACCATGTAAATCAATGCATATCTTTAGTAAAATTTAGTGACTAGAGAATTTGGTGGGTGTTTTTCTGATTTTGATTTAGATGCCAGTTCAAATTTCTGACTTTTGTTGAGGTAATATATTTTATTTTCAGGAATAGGGTACTGACCAACAGTCGTAAAAGTTTCTTTTAGTGGCATGCAATTGCACTTTCCTGTCCGTGTCGCTTTTGTTAACATCGTTCGTAAAAGATTCTAGGGGAATTTTCTAGTTTACCTGTGGGCATCGTTATTCTGGGAAATGTTTTTTACGCTCTGATCATTAAATCATAAGGCGCATTTATACTGTCAAATACCTCTTTTTCTAAAATCGCGATGTTTCGCGCACCCGTTTACACTTGTGCTGAAACATCACCGACTGAAAAGCTCAGTGATGTTTTGGCGTGTTTCAGTTGATAATGCGCATGCGCGGCACTCCGATGCAAAAACTATTATTACTATTATTATATTCTTTTTCTTTTTTCTTTCTGTCTTTCCATATGTTATTCTTTGTTTCTTCCTTCTTTTACCTTCTTTTATGTTATTCTTTGTTTTTTATTATTCTTTGTTTTTTCTTTTTATCACCTTCTCTTATGTTATTCTTTGTTTTTATCATTTTTTCACTTTCTCTTTCAGTCTTTCCTTATGTTATTCTTTTGAAAAATTGAGGAATTATTATTATAAACTACATATTGAGATCTTTTAGAAAGATTACTTTCAAACCAAGATGACAGACAAATTTGAGTGTTGTTGTAGTTTCCGAGTGGTGAGTCAACACACTGATTACTGAGCTGGGAGACATTGCCAGGCATAGCGCCATAAATCGAAACTAAAAAAAAAAAATTAAAAAAAAATTCTGTACCTGTGTATAAGACGCACCCCCGACTTTCAATTTTTTTCAGCGACAAAAAAGTGCACCTTGTACATGGAGATTAACGGTAGCAGGTTTATAGAGAGAGAGAGAGAGATGATGGAACGAGATTTATTTGTTTTTAGCTTTAAGAGGCACCAGGCTGTGAAATAAATATTTTCTTCTGTATGTTTTGAGTTTCATGCTGGTATGATGCTGCTACCATGTATCGAATGGAATATTACTTCTGTGAAGATACATTGTAAGTTTCAATAAAGATACATGTACATACTGTAAAAAACAAATAGGCACCTGTAGTAGCTGCAGGACTCCACACTAGCTTTTTGGGGAAGAGGTCTGAAATGTACTTTTTAGAGTGTGTGTCTATGAGCTCTATGTTGAATATATGAGCATTGAGGGTCCGGATGTCAATTTTAGGGCACCCTTGCCAGTAGACAAATGCACACATGCAAACATATGGAAATAAATTCCAACGTAACTCCTGTTGCTGCCTTGATTTGAAATCATGTATACTTGTTAAGCTCTTTAATCCTAAACAACTTAAATGTTTAGATTTTACGGTGAAAGATATATGAAAGGTTATTTTTGTGCATTTGGGGGAATGGTCGCCCGTAGAGGTAAGGTATACTGTTAGCAGGGATAAACATGTAGGACCGGTTTAGAGGAGAAAACACTTGTTGTAGAACTTCCCTTGCAACAGAAGAACTGAATCTGATATACCGTAGTTCCTTTTGATGGTTTAATACAGAATATATGTCTTTCATCATACTTCATAATGTCATATCCCACTCGGGATGGTCTATGGAGGCAAAGTACACATGTCAGCCATACAGAGCTGTAGCAATTGCAAGGCGCCTGCACTTGGTTTGGTTTGCTTTTATTTCCAGTATAAAAACATACATATACATACATATGAACTTGATAATTAATTAAAAAGAATATGGATGGATCACTCTATTCAGAGCCATTAATTTAATGGTTCTATTCTTTCTAGACATCCACGAGTTTGTGAGTTCACCTGACAAATTTATGCAGGTAA